CTCAGTCATGATGGGATTTGGAGGTTGTACTGTTGGATGCCACGTAGTAGAGTCTTTAAAGGATTTCAATAAATTAACATGGAAAACTGGATGTATGTTTCTGTAATGTTTTGGAAGAGTCAATTTAAATGCAACTGGATTAATAATTTTTCAATGGGGAAAGGTCCAATGAATTTCGGGCCTAGCTTTTTGCATGGCTGGGTAGTCTTTACATTTTTGGTAGATAACCAAACCATGTCTCCAACTTTCCAAGGAGGGTTTGCAGACCGTTTTCTATCAGCAAATTTTTTATGTTGGTTTCTGGCATTCTGCAGAGATTTGACAATCAGAGGCCACAGTTTTGTAATATTAGTGATCCATTGATCTGTGGAAAGTTCAGGAAAATCTTTCAAAGGCATTTCTGGGAAAGGCAGGAAGTCCTGACCAGTAGCTATTTTATAAGGTGTAAATCCAGTACCTTGGTGCACCGTGTTGTTGTAAGCCACTTCAGCAAACGGTAAAAGTTCTGACCAATCATCTTGTTGGTGATTAGTAAAGCATCTTAAATATTGTTCCAATAATGAGTTCATTTTCTCCGTCGATCCGTCTGTGTCTGGATGAAAACTGGAACTCAGGGCCTGAGTGGAACCAATTAACGTAATAAATTCCTTCCAAAATTTGGAGGTGAACTGTGGCTCGCAATCTGAAATTACCCTCCTGGGGGTGCCATGGAGGTGGTATATGTGTTGAATAAACAATTTAGCAAGTTTTTTGGGATTAGGAATTGAAGCACATGGAATAAAATGTGCCTGTTTAGAGAAAAGATCAATGATAACCCAAATAACAGTGTTGTGATTACTCTCAGGCAAATCAACAATAAGTCCGTAGAAATTTCTTTCCAGGGTTGTTGAGGAGATGCAACAGGTTGTAGAAGTCCCAAAGGCTTTCCTCCCCTCTTTTTTGAAATGGCACATGTGGGACATGTAGATACATATTCAGAAACGTCTTTTCTCTTGGTAGGCCACCAAAATTGCCTACATAATAAATGCAAAGTTTTTATAAATCCAAAATGTCCAGAGGTTTTGTCATCATGGCCTTTTTGCAAAATGAGTTTACGTAGTGAAGCTGGTACATACAATTTGTCTC